TAATTAAATTTAATAAAATTAAATAATCTTAATAAAATAGTGGAAAGTCGTATCCAACCCTTTTACGGGCAGTGTGGGATCCATGCGTTTACCAATCACGACACGTCGCGCCAGAATGTTCCGGATTAACCACCGAAGGTGGGGCCGCCCTACCGAGTAACGGTTAGATCAAATCATGCTTGCTCGCCACGTGTCATCAGATCCTTCCCCCGATCGCCCAGTCATCACCCTGGGCCGATACTAAAATAATATTTAATTCCTCTCCCCTCTTCCCTCACACGTGGAGGCACGTAACGCCCGTGCACCCCCTCCTCCTTTTGACCAATGGCGTTTCGCCGTGACGTGTTCCCGTCACCGGACACTGAGGGAGAAAAAGTATTCGGGAGGTTGAGTTCCGACGCAAAATGGAGGGTACTATTGTAATTTCAAGAAATAGGTGAAGGTCTTCTGTCCTCCTCCTTCCGCATTAATAAACTCTGCTGGGTGTTCACGCATTGCATCCTGTTACGTGTGCTCTAAGCGAAACCCACAGAGGGTCTCTTTCTTCTACACACACACACAGACTCTCTCTCTTCACCTTCTTAGTTGTGGAATAGATTTTTTTTTCTTGTGGAGAGAGAAAGAAGGGTTTTTCAGCTTTGAACAGGAACTGGGTTGTTTTGGGTTTCTGGTTTTCTGTTGGAAGGAAGGAAATTTCTTTTTTTCTTTTCTTTTTTTTTTTTAAATTTAAGATTTTTTTGCAGTGAAGATGATTCCAAGGAGTTTTGTTTGAGGTGGGAGCAAATGGGTGGGTGTGATTTTTACTGTTTGACCTGTGATTGCTAGTGAATCAGTGTCAGAGACTTGCAGTGAGAGAAATGCGGAAATCGTTTAAGGACTCCCTTAAGGCTCTCGAAGCTGATATTCAGTTCGCCAATACCCTGTAATTTCTCTCTCCCTCTCTCTCACTCTGTATGTGTCAGCTGGAATGGTGTTGTTTATTGTTTTTCCTGTTGATGTCTGATGCTATGGAACCGATTGGGTTCTTGATTATGCATTGCGTTTGAATCTTGATGCTTTGAAATTTTAGAAAGTTTTTGGTGGGTTAAATATAAAGAGGGGAAAAATGGAGGAAAAATTTTAGAAAGTTATTAGTCTTATTAATCCTGTGGGGGTAGTAATAAAATTCCCATTTATTACTTTGGTAAATTTAAATTTGATTGATTTTATTGTGATCTGAGTCTCGTTCTTTTGATTACTTATTTTGGTTAGGCAGTATTGAGGAGCTTGTATATTGTAGGAAAATGAAAGACCATTTTTCTGTTGAGACTGAGAGTGGCAGAGTGCCATAGAGTGGAACTCTACTCATGTTCTATTCGGAGATGTCCGCCAATGCCCTCTCTGTTCTTTCCTATTCCTCAAAATTTGTGGGTCCAATTCTTGGTTTGACCGTCTTTTACGGTTCTTGCATTGTTTCTTTGTGCACAATTTCTGTGTTCTTTTGTTTATAGGGAATGCAGTGTATTCTACTGTACATTACACTTTTCTGTGATGCAGGGCTTCTGATTATCCCAGAGAATATGATGGTGCCTGCCTTCAGATGAGACTATCTTATTGTCCTGCTGCTCATTATTTTCTTTTCCTTGTTCAATGGACCGATTGCCGCCTCGCTGGTGCCCTAGGATTGCTCAGAATTCTCATCTACAAGGTGCTCTGAGAATTGTTTTTTATTTAGTCCTTTATCTTTCTGGTGCTTTCATGCTCTCATGCTCTGAACTTTCTTAGGCTTCTGTTCTTAACATCTAATTTAGGTGATACCTTCCCAATTGTGTAATGACATGTACCTGCCTTCTGCAGGCGTATGATGATGGAAAGACCACAATGTCAATCCATGAAAGAAAAGCTAGTATGAAAGAATTCTATGGTAAGTAAAACAGTAGTTTTCTTTTTACATTCCCGTTAATGGAAACAATATGATTGACATCCATACTTCCTATTCCAACCTTTGCCAAGCAGTTTTTGTCCCTCTTCAATAATTCCTCTGTCCAAATCTTAATTCCTTTTCACCCTCACATATAAAAAATTTAACCTTTTAGTCTTGATGGATAGGGGTGATATTTCCCTCATTATTGCAACTTCAAAGGGGAATCACTGATGTGGAAGAGAGGAAACAGAGAGAAATATGTCTTATGAAGTACAAGAAAGGAGATGAAATGGACAAAGGAAAGCTCTCTGAAATTGATTTGGAGAGAGAAGAAGAATGTGGTATTTGCTTGGAGATGCATGGCAAGATCGTGTTGCCTAACTGCAACCATACAATGTGTATGAAATGCTACCGGACTTGGTAAGTTGTTACATGATTTGATGCGATTGCTTTATCACATTCTATCTGGCAATCACAACATTAGCATCAAATTACTTACCCATTCCTTTTCACCCACAACTTGTTTTATTCACAATCATATACCCTTTCACCTGCAATAATCTATCAGAGTTTAATCTTGGAAAGTCAGCACCATCCTTGATCTTTGTTAGTTTCTGATTTCTTGAAAATGCCCTGAATGTTGAAGGAAAAGATAGGTTTCTAGATTAGGATCTCACAAGTATTTGCAACTGAATCAAGGTTCCAGATTGATATTTTTGGTGGCGAGATTACCTGCTTATGTCTCTTCCTGTTTTTGGTGGTTAGACCACCTGCTTATGTCACTTCATGTTAGTACATTACACTTGCCAGATCACTTTGCTTTTAGATATTTTTGATGGCTTGTTGACTTGTTTAGATGCTTTTGTCACTTTATGTTGCACTAATGCATATTATTGAACATTGAGGATAATGTTATGGGTTTGTTTGATTTTTATAGGCGTGCACGGTCTGAGTCATGCCCCTTCTGTAGGGACAGTCTCAAAAGAGTCAATTCAGGAGACCTTTGGATATACACCAGCAACAATGAAATTGTCGATTTATCTGCAATCTCAAGAGAGAATTTGAAGCGATTGTTCATGTACATTGACAAGTTGCCCGTCATTGTTCCAGATCCAAAGATCATTTCTTATGACCCACAATACCGATGATCACTACTTCGGTTTGGCCCCTAAAAAATGTTGGGAACACAAGGCGTGGTTGATTGTACATAACTCTTGTTTATTTCTTCCATGGTTGCTGATTTAGAAGATGTAAATAAATCATTAGTTATTTTCAGCATGTTGGGGTTCTTTCGTTGATTCATTCTTACACAGACAGGAATGTTTTACTTCTCCTGTATTAGACGCTTAGCAGAGCAAAAGTTGTGATTCTGAAACTTACCTACGATTTTCATCCCTTTTTTTGCTTGATTATGATATTTTAAGGTATTAGTTTATAGAGTACTTTTTAATTTGTTAAATAATAAATATTAATTATTTTACCAACTAATAATTATAACTATTAATTGTTTGTAAGAATCAGATCAAACGAAGTCAATTTTTTTGAAGACAAAATTATAAAATTAGTTTGGCCGTGTAACGTTTTCTCATGCGGCAATAACCATGCCCCTGGATGGCTAATTACATTTCTTTCGCAGCAAATCATAATCATATCTCCACTGTTAACAGAGTTCAGAGAATATAAACTCATGTGTAGAGGAAACAGGAATACTAATTTCACTAGAAAGGATAGCCGCTGCCAATAAGAAATGAGATACAAGGCAACGGCAGCTAGTTTAGTGTCATACAAAACACAATGTAAGTAGACTGAACTATAAACATACAAATCCAGGTGTTTATGCAATGTATAAAACCATCTTATGCCAAGCCATTTCAGGCATCGTCGTCATCATCACCATCATCATCATCATCTTCTTCCTCCTCATCCTCTTGATCTTCCTCCTCATCCTCAGGTTGATGCTGCTCTTCCTGCAAATGATTGATCACAGATCAGAAATTATGAAGAGTGGGGAAGTTGATGGGCAGACCACAAAGAGCAGATAATGGATGCAAAGCAAATGCCCAGCTTTTAATGCTGGTGTTAATGTGCAACAAAAAGAGGGCCTATGTTTCATATCTAGGACTCCCTGAAATATTTCCCTTGATAAAACCAATCACGTTTCACTTTAGAGTAACACCACCTAAAATGAAAGCTAACCCTACGGTAACCTCCTCTTCATCATTCACTTCAGATTTTGACCTATCTGACTCTTCATCACCATCACCAGCACTCTCCTGCTGATTGCAATGGTGGAGAGGAAGGAACAAATCAAATTGAAGCACTCCTTTAAACAAAGTAAGGCTAATGCAACAATGTGTTCACCTGCTTCTTGTTATAGTCATTCATTTGCTTTTCATATTCAGTCTTCCGTTTTGCAGCTTTGGCTTCATACTCAGATTTTTCCTTCAAAACAAGGTAGTGAGATGAGGTAATGTCTTCAGTAAAACCAATAAAAGAATAATAAAGAATAAAAATCAACAATTCATCTTTATCATATGCAATCAATGTTTCTTAGACAAACACAAATCCCAAAAGTCTAAAGAGTTATGGAACCATGCCCCAAAACACCGGTGCATTAGAATTTTAGGAAGAGGGGAGGAAGAGTGTTATAGGCTTTCCTTTCCATAGGGAAAACTAGAAAGTTGGACATTCCCACACTAAATACATATTCAAGTGCTTAGTCCTTACATCTTCAGGCATGGATTTCCACTTCTCCCCCGCAGCTTTGCCAACCTTCAAACACAGCAATCAAATAAACATAAGAAATGTTGAATGTTTAAACCATAGTTAAGTTCAATCATGTCAAATACTGTAGAGAGCTTACAGCAGACACAGCCTTCACATTGGGGTTTTCTTTCTTGAAAGTGCTTCTGAACTCCTCACTGTGAGATAACGGCAATTATTGATCAATCCAAATACTTAGGTTAAACCAAGCTAACTCTCCTAGCCAACATAACAGCCAAAGATACATACAGAAACACAAAGAAAGCACTGGGAGGCCTCTTGGGTTTGTTCGGATCTTTCTTCACCTTCATTTCCTTCTTAGCTTTCCCCTGGCTGCTTTTTGCAACAGCTGCCTTCCTCTTTCCTACCTTTCTGAAAACAATAGAGATATACATGACCCGTCACTACACTATTCCTGTAACTTCTGTATCCAACATGGGTTATAAAAATCAGAAATCAAAAGAATTTTATACCAATGGAGATCATCAGGAACAAAAATCATATCAGGCAGACAAATTTAAAGAAAAAAATAGCCATCCATAACTGACCTGTCATCAACAGGCTTCAATGCTTCTTTCGTGTTCTTTGCTGCACCCTTACCCTTACCTCTAGTTCCTGCCATAATTTCTACACAAAAACAATTGTTTATATTGAGTGGGATAATCCCACATGCAGTATTATATCAAAGAAACATGTGGGTTAAAACAAGTAAGGCTACTAAGTTGGATGCAAGTCTCATGTTGAAGCTCAAATGCTAAATTTTCACAGTTTACAATGTCAAAAATAACACTTTTTGCTTAAAAAAAATCCCCCAGCCCAAGAAACCAAATTAGGGTTCTAACAAAGAATCATGCTTTATGAAGCAAAAATAGATATCCTAGTTCATAACACAATCTACGCGCAGCTAAACCAAACCAACTAAGCTCCAAATTTTACGGAAAATTATTAATAAATTCAAAAAAAAAAATAACTGCAGAAATTCGCGTTACCAAAAAAAAAATTCTAAAATTAAACAGAAACAGGAAAAACAGGAAAATAGATCTAGAAAACGATGTTACTTCGAAGGAAAATAAGCGAGGCGGCGATTTGCAGGCGAGAAAATGTGCTGAGAAAAACAGAGAAAAACGCAGGGAATCACACAGATAAGAATAAGGAAGAACCAAAGGAGCAGGGAATTTAGTAGGGGTGACCGGGCCAGCCTGTAAAACCTGAGGCGCTTGCCTTGATGGGCGTGAGAGTCAATGCGCTGTTACCGGTTACCGCCGGTTGAATATACTGGGGGACAGCCTGATTAATATTTTAATGGGTTTTTTTTTTTAATAAGCAGGGGATTCCCCAATCAACAGCATTTGAGCGGTGGGGATGATTTTGCCGCCAAATTATCTCGTACATGCGATGACAAAACAAGATTTTTTGTGGCATTTTCTTTTAACTGACACGCGTCTTCCCTTTTTTTTTTGGGTAAGAGAATCCAATTCCTTTTTGGGTCTGGGAAACTGTCTGAATTGGGCTTTCCACCCATTAACCATTTGGATTGGAACAAAAGCCCAAAATAAAAATATGAAATTAAGTCTAAAGTATGGTGCGTATTTGTTTACTGATTATACGTTGATTTGAATAGGAGGAATTTTAATTTTTTAAAATAAAATTTTGAATTTAAATTTTATAAAAGAAAAAATAAGTGTTAGGAAAGTTTTGCATTAATTAGTGTTAATATGACTTCTAAATACCAAGACTTTAGTATAAAAAATAATGTATATTAATCTTCACTTTTTTAAAAATAAAATATTAATTTAAAAAATATTACTTTTTAATGAATATTTTCAAAACCTAATCATACATTTAGTATATAATTCATTTAGATCATATATATTAA